TCGAGCTGGGCGCAGGTATTTTCAGCGCTACGGCGCCTCCACCGAGCTCCGAATGGGGACATCTTATGGGACTTTCTCCGGCTTCTGTCCGTCTGTCTGTCTGCATTGGGCCCACGGTCCCCAGACAACAGCGGAAGGCCCCGTGACCGTCCAGCAGGCCCCGAAAACGGCCTGTGGACGGCCCCCAGAGACCCCGAGGGGCCCTCTCGCAACCCTGGATCAGCACGGCGACGGCAAGATAATCAATATCGAGCGGCCTTCGGCCTATCCCGCCACTGCGCCTGGCTTGTAGGCCAGAGGTTTCCTGGATGCCCGTGGGGACCTCTTGGGAGGTCCGTCGGAAGGCGGCTCTGGGGAGCCGTGGGGTACCTCCGGGGCCTCTTGGGGTTTCTTTTGGCCCTGTCGGGGGCCTCCTGTGGCCTCTTGAGGGCCTCTGAGGGGGCTTCTGGCGGTCTCGAGGGTCATCTTTGGGCGGCTGGCTCGAAACGTAAGTTCGAGGCCTATTGGGCCGTCTCGGACCGTCTTGGGGTCCTCTTGAGGGTCTCTTGGGCCGTCTTGGAACGTCGGGAGACCGAAAAGGCGAGGACGCTAACATCCTACAATGATTCCGACGGTCGGACCCCACATGAGAATCTGTTTAGCGTGCCCCCCCGAGTTGTTATTGTCGCCTTGGCTGGCGGGGGACCTTCTATCGGCCTATGTTTCGCCTGCCCCTCCTCCTTGTCATCTTCGCGATCCGTCTCCTCGTCCTTCTCGTCTCCCCTCGTCCTCTTTCTCCTCCTCCTTTTCCTCCTCCTCCTTCTCCTCGTCCTTGTTTTCCTCCTCCTTCTCGTCCTCCTCCTCCTGCTCCTCCTCCTTCTCGTCCTCCTCCTCCTCCTCATCCTCATCCTCCTCACCGCCACGGCCGGCACGGCACGGCTGCGACTCCTCTTTCACCTCTTCCTCCTCTTCCACCTCTTCCTGGGCGCTCTCTGCCTTGCGGCTGGCCTCCGCCGTCCACGGTCTCTTCTGGCTTTCTCCGCCTCCTCCTTGGCGCTCCCAGCCCTGTGTCGGGCCGAACGAACGGGGGGGATCGGGAAAGGGGGGGGGTACGAAATCTGCTGCATTCTGCATGCAGCTGGTTTCGGCCCCGCCGCCGGGCCCATTCCTTGATACATGGGCGCCTCCCGGCGCTGGGAGGCGCCGGGAAAATCAGCTACGTGAGCTGATTCTCAAACCCCCCGTTTGTTATCCCCCCCTTTTCCCCGGCCCGACTGGGGCTGGCCTCCACCTCCTCCTCCTCCTCTTCCTCCGTCTCCTCCTCCTCCTCTTCCGCCTCCTGCGCTGCATCGGCGTCGTCGCCTTCGGAGCCCTCTGAGCAGGCCCGCGCCCCCTGTCCCCACCCCCGTCCCCTCAGAGGCGCGCCGCCGAGCGCCCGCTTGTCGGGGGCGGAAAAGAGGGGGGTGATGACTAGGGGGGGGTGGATATCATGGCGTGGGCCATGATATTTCCTCAGATCTCATGGCGCCCCCTCTTATTTCATTACGTCCCTGGCCCCCCCCGCTGGGCCGCGCACATGCCGCCAGTCATGATTTGCACCCCCCCTCTTGGACCCCCCCCTCTTGGCCAATCCCGAGCTTGGCGGGGTCCCAGACGGGTACGGCACCCTGATCAGTCCTTTCGTGGGGCCCAGGATTGAGTCGGGCCTGCACCTGGGAATATTCCCAAATAGTCAAAAATAGTATGAGGACTATGTTTAAAACATTAGTTTTACTCCTCCTTGGAGTATTTATGAGTTTTTTTTTTTTTTTTTTTTTTTCAATTTGTCGTCCGGAATCCCCCTGTGGGGGGGGACAGGCCCGACCCGACCCCAGGAGTTCTGGACCATTCTCACAGACATCGGGCGCCTCGAAGAAAAATCGGGACGGAAGTGTTTCCGCAGGATGGACCTCAAATGTATTAATATGGGTTTACAACGTTCTGGGATTATTGACCAGGGTTCATGATGTCTCGCCCGGAACATTATGAACCTGGGTTTCAATGTTCTGAGAATCTTGATTGGGGTTCATAATGTTCCCCCCGGAACATTATAGACCTTGGTTACTAATATTCTGGGGGTATTCACCCAAAAAACGAATTAACCTGGGTTCATAATGTTCCGGGAATAGCGACTGGGGTTTATAATGTCATGGGAATAATGAACCCGGTTTTCGTAATTCCGGAATGAAAGGAATATGATTTTCCCCCCAGGCCCGGGTTCCCTAGTTTATTATCACCAGGAGATAATAAACCCGGATTTATAATGTTTCCGGAATATTGACCCCGGGCTAATTATTCTGGAATGATAATGATTGAGCCTGGGGGGCGCCGTTTGAGAGTATGTTCCGCACTGAAAAAACCTTGGTCCATAATGTTGGAATCTTAAATTTTGGGTGATTACGCCGGAAAGATAATGATTCGGCCGGGGGGGGGGGCCTGAGCCCGATCCATTAATAGGATAATATCCCATAGGGTATCAATTCAAGATAATGAACCTAGGTTTTTCATTCTTAGATAATAAAACACGGTCGACGAGGATTTCACACCTACCCAATGTTTCCGCGTGTTCGGTCTCTCGAGGCCATCGCCGGGCCTCTGGACCGTCAAAAAGCGATTCGGGATGAAAAACCGGTCCCGGGGAAGTGGTCGGGAGGTCCGGGGCCCGTGTCTCGAATAAATCGAGACGTCGGATGTCGGGGTTCGGAGAGACGCAAAGATTAGAGGCTTCCTAGATGGGGTCCGAATAAATTGGGTCAAAGGATCGCACCGCAGCGCCAATGCATCGCCGATGCATCGGCAATCCATCGGCTATGTATCGGCGACGTCGGCGATGCATCGGCGATGCATCGGCGACGTCGGGGTGGAGAACATTGGGCCACACATCGAGCCGCATCGCCGATGCATCGGCGATGCGGTGCGATCCTCCGACCCCGTCTGCTCGGACCCAGTCTGGGAGGCCTGGATCGGTTCAGGGGCTCTGGGAGCTCTGGACCACTTTCGGAGAGACGCAAAGGTAAGACGGAGCCTAGATGATGATAGCATCAGGTGAAGGATACATCGAGAATCTCTGAGATCCATCGGCTCTGGAGGATGTCTTGGGCGCCGAGGCCTCTTCAGAGCGTTCCAGAACCCTCTGAGAGCGTTCCAGAACGCTCTGGAACGGGACGCAGAAAGTCCACTGGAAAAGAAACAGAGCGATAAGAATGCATTGAACAAACAAACAAGCCGAACTATATTACATATCCGCGGCGCTATTCTCATCAGATCAGAGTGCGAAGCCACCACGACAAAAGGAACCCAGGTCAAAATACCGAGACAGCAGGATCGCAGTACCTCGAGACCCCGACGCAGAACCGAATTTGGGAAACTGCAGTTGGTTTCCAGGACTCGGCGCGCGAGGCACGGGAGCGACGGAAACCCGCGTCCGTGCACGAGGCCAGAGGCCCTCGCGTGGAACAAATTGCGCGGCCAGAGGCTCGCGCAGCTGACGACGCCAGAGGTTCTCGTCGTACACAAATGTTATCACAAAAAAAAAACGCATGCGTTGCCAGAGGCTCGCGCAGTTGTCGAGGACAAGGGGCTCTCGCCGTCGACTGAGTGATAACCAACTGTGCGGCCAGAGGCTCGCACAGCTGAGGAGGCCAGAGGCTCTCGCCGATGTCGGCTGGATCATACAGGAGCCGTACGCGGCCAGAGCTTCGCATACCTGACGAGGCCAAAAGGCTCTCGCATCGCTTAATACGACGCCCGCACGCCAGCGCGGCCAGAGGACGACCCGTTCGGATTCGACGTGAAGTGCGGGCCCCATAGGGAAAACAGGTCCCGCTTGGGACTTCCCCGCAAGTCACTCACTCACGAGCCCCCGCTTGGTTCTTTCCCCAATGTTCAAGCTAGGGAGTGGGTAAGTGAGTGGTGATGATGAGTGGCTGAGTGATGATGAGTGAATGAGTGAGGGGTGCTGGGAATGACGATGAAGATGATGACTGATCGATTGATGATGAGGGTGGTGATAATGAGAAGTGTGATGATGATGATATGTGACGATTCTGATAATTATCGATGACGGATGGTGACGATGATCGATGGTGATGATGATGAGACGGGATGCATGCGTGAGCGAGGCGGAGAGGGGGAGGGGGGTTGAGGTTCTTGCGCGGGGGGTGTCCAGAGAAAACAAGAACCCCAGTGGGAATGTGAGGGAAAACATGTAACAGTCAGTGACTTGTTTCTGCTGGGGCCCACATGGGGGGCTTCAGGTGGAGCCCTCTTGGAGGTGTCTTGGGGGCCTCTTGGGCAGTCTTCAGGCCATCTGGAGCGCTCTTGGGGCCCTGCGGGCTCGTCTTGGGGCCCTCGAGCCTCCAGGAAAGTCACGTGGGAACACGCGCCAAGCTTCGAGAGCGCCCAGAGTTCCTGGGCTGTGTGCCCTTACTACAAAATCGAATTCAAAGAGGCACGGTGGTACGCACGTACACATGCATTTCTATATAGACATATGTAAATATACACAAACATATTGGTCTCCGCGCGCACCATGCGCTTCCCTTTTCTCTCGGAAGGTCCGGCGAGGAAACAGGAACGAGGGTTCACAGTGTGCGCGGTCGTCCGATTAATGACGCGGTAGGGATTTGTACAGACGGAGGTTGCGGAGTAGTGGGAGTGGGGGTGGAGACGAAGAGAGTTCAGTATAATGAGATTTCAGATGTTTTGGGGAGACGGCTGTCGAGTACTATGTGTGTTGTTGGAGACGTAATGCTTGTGGTGTTGGATATGCAGGGGATTGAGTAGAAGTGCTTGCTCAAAGTGCACTTGGAAAGCAGGTTGCTTAGTATTGGGTGTGGTGTTGGAGAAGACGGAGGCTGTGGGCCCCGTCTCGGGGCCACTTTGTGCCCAAGAAAATTCATGCCCTTGAAACCCTCAGGACTGAAGACTGAGGCCCCGGGAACTTGGCAAAGGACCTCAGGACACGCCCTTTCCTTGCCCAGCGGCACGGTGGCTGCACACACGGCCAGCGAGAAGGCTCCTGCGCGGCTCGGAAGCTTGGGTGGGTCGATGCAGCGGGCCCCTCTCTGGGCTGCGCGGAGCATCGGCGTGCGAGTGGAGGAGGATGATTGCGTCGATGGCACGGTCTCTTGCCACTGGATGTGTGCAGCCAACCGCGCGACGCAATGTTTGGAGATGTGGCGTATTTTCCAGGCGTTTGGCCTTCCTGCGCGAGCTGGGCCTCACAGTTGGCCCTGACCGCGGCCGCAGATCCAAGTATGCCAATGAGGCTTCGAGTATTGCCGTTGGGCCAAGGGCAAGGGCAAAGGGAGGAGCGCCCTCCATTTCCGCTGCGAAGTAGTTTCCGGAATGTGAGACCCGCCATTTCGCGGGCTGCTTGCCCGAACATTTGTCTTCGAGATGCAACCTCCTACAGTGTGTTGCGCATTGCAGTTTCACGCAGTTTGTTGAATTTCGAGTGCATCTCTGCAAGTGTGCCAGGTCAGACTTTAGCTTGCCAGATACGGTATCCAACCTGCCGCGTCGTGGGCAGACGTTCCATGATGTTTCGGCCGCCGAGTGCCGAACCCGCAGAGACCGCACGGCACGGTTCGCGTGTTCAAAATACGTGTATATCATACATATATATATATACACATAGACATATACATACACAGGTACACGTGTATGGTTGCACACATGCATACCTGCATACAGCCACACATACACACAACCATATTACACACACGCATGTTCACAAACATACGCATACAACCATACACGTGCATACACACATGCATACATACATGCATGCATACAACCATACGTTCGCACATGCATACAAACATGCATACGTACATACATATCCACATTCATGCAGACATACATGCATGCATCCATACATACATATTTGCATAAACACTGACATGCATACAAACAATCATACGCATACATGCATACATACATATACACACACTCGCACATACATACATATGCACATGCACTTCATGCGTACATGCACACATGCATGCATGTATGTATTAATCATTGCAAACACAATCATACACATGTGTATACATACATGCACACATAAATGCATATGTACATACGTACGTGCGTACAGGCATACATTCATACACAACCACACACACATACATACATACATACATACATACATACATACATACATACATACATACACACATACATACATACATACATACATACACACACATACATACATACATATATACATACATAAATCCATGCATACATACATACATGCATTCATACATACATACATACATATATGCATACATACACACATGTACGCATGCATACATGGGCCCATGCATCCATCCTCCCATACATCCATGCATCCTTCCATACAGACATACATGCATACATACATACACATGCACATGCATGTATGCATGTATGTCAGTCTCCCAGTTTGTATGCATGCATGCATGCATGCATGTATGTGTGTATGTATGCACGGTTATTTTCGTCGTCGACGTTTCGTCGTCGTCTTCGTTGTCGTCGGCGGCATCGTCGCAACGTCGCGGTGGAGATTATATTTCTCTTATTCGCCCTCATCGTACGGATGAACACTTTTCCAATACAACTTTTGCGTCCTTCCGCTTCGGCCCATCATTGGCCGCTTTCGCTGGCTGCGCCCCGCTCGCACAGTGTCGACATGGCCTTCCAAGGCCCTTGCATCCTTATCGCGCATCCCCATTATACGGGATTGCTGTAGGGCCCAGGTCCCGTTTCCCTCAGAACCCGCTACCCTTATGTTCGCAAAAGTGCGTTGTTCTTTCTTCAACCGTAGACACGGTGAGGGCGACGCAGGTGACGTCAATGTAGGTTTATGTATTGTAGATGGGGGTGTTTCGTGGCCCACGCAGTTGTAGAAACGGCTTCTCTGTCTTTTCCCATAACAGTTCATTCTGCGCGGGCTCGGCGTCGCGGCAACCATATTCCCAACATCGCCGTTGACCAACATCGCCATTACCGTGGCCTTGGCAGGACCCGCTTCCCCCATGCGAGCCCCGGAAACGGCAGGGCCGTTTTTCACCGTTTCCGAAAAAGTGTCCCTTGAAAATGAAAACGGCAAAAAAACGGCGACAGGGAACGGCAAAAAAACTGCTCCAGGATTGGAACCGGAGCCGGAACCGATCAAACAACGGCGACGGAAACAACAGCGTCGGAACCGGCAAAAAAGCAGCAAAACGGAACCGGTAAAAAACGGCCCTGTCGTTTCCAGGGCCCACGAAGGGCAGGACCCGTTTCCCCCGTGCTCGCAGAGGCGTGCTGTTCTTTCCTCGAGGCTCCGCTCTCGGCCGCGCCCTCCCCTCCCCGAGGACGTGGCGCAGGCGTGGTCGCTGGTGGAGACCGTGCACCGTGCGGCCCCGAGCGAGAGCCTGGCGGGGGGTGCTGAGGAGGGAGGCGGGGGGGGGAGGAGTAGGGAGAAGGAGGAGGAGGAGGATCGGTGCAGGGCTGGTTTCGATGCCTCCGATTCGATGCGATTCGGCTTCGGTGGCTTCCGATTCCAACTCGATTCGACTGTGGATTCCGATCTGGGTTCCGATGCTTCACTGGAGGCCTACTAAGCTGTCGATTTCCGCCGATTCGATTTTTCCCGATTCGGCTGCCGATTTTCGCCGATCCGATTGATTTCGATCGCCGATCCGACTTGTCGATTCGATTCTAGGCTCTCCTGTCAGTGTGGATGTTGGAATAAACCCTCACCCCAAGATCTCTTTTCACGTGCACCTGCAAGTGTTCGTGTCCACTGAAGGGAGTGTCCCGGGGCACAACCAGTTGAGGCCCCTGGAGCGTGCCAGCATTCTCGGCTAATGAACCTGATTGTTGCGTCTAAATGATCTTGAATCGTGCCAGAACACCATTCCTGGAATTCCCACACCGCGAATTGGTAGTAACTGTAGCGTGCTGACCATCGTGCATCACTCCAAAAAAACCGTTCCAGGTACGTTAATCATGGGAACACTTGCAATGTTTTAACACGAATGCGATCGGAGCTAAGGCGAGTACCACATGTTGAAAGGTAACACCCTCAGTCCGTGAAACTCCTTGCAACCTCTAAGGACGGGTGTGTGCAGCGCTAAGTCGAGAGCCACATTTTGAAAACGAACCGCTTTCAATTCGTGGAAATCTTGCCAATGTTTAAACGAATGTGCGCGTCGCGATGGCGAAAGCCACACATTACCAGCCCTCAATCCGCGAAGTTCTTGCAAACTTGAAATTGATACGTGCATTTTGGAAGACCACCCGCCCTGCATCTGTGAAACTGTTTTCATTTGTTAAGCTTGAGTGTCAAACATGGTGAGGTAGTCTCCGGCGAAACGCCTGGCCCGCACTTTTCAACCGACCCCAGGGTGGGACAGGGAAGAGTTATCTAAAAAGACAAGGAAGGAAGAGGACGAGGAGGAGGGGGAGGAGGAGGAGCAGGAAGAGAAGGGGACCAGGAGGAGGAGGAGGAGGAGAAGGATGCAGTGCTCAATGGAGTTGCTCACCCCCATTTGTCGGCTCTTTTCTACGACGGGCTTGAATGGACACAGTTTTCGGCACGAGAGCTGGCATGCCTCTCGGCGACCTTATGCTGTTGGTTCCATTCGCTCCGGTGCAGCAGGCCATCCAGGGGCGCATGGCTGCCAACCAGCGCGCTCATGTTTTGATGCTGACCAGAGCGCCCCCCCCTTTTCAGCTCTGGTGCCGCAGGCGCAGACCATTCGTTCATTCACGGACCTGCTTTTGCCGGCGACCTCCTCACCCTTGCGTCCGTCAACCTTTGTGGGGATTTGGCTTCCGCTGCCATCGCTACCGCTACCATCGTACATGAGGAAGTTACGCACATGAGGAAGTTACGCGCCAGGGGGCCACGGTCAATTATGCTCCTGTGAAGTCTGCGTGTATGGTTGCCTTCCCCCCTGCTCGTGCCCTCGGCCCCAAGAGGGCCTACGACGGCGTGAACAAATTGTCTTTGCCTTCATTTGTGGTCAATCTGGGTAAAGTTGAGGTGTGCAAGCACCTACGGAGTTTGCGGCATCAGGCTTTATTTTTAAACTTGAGATAGCCCCCAGGAGCATTCACGAGAGCACGACGCTTGGCCCATGGAGGCGCACGGCGCTCAAGTGTAAGTCTTTGTCTTTACCGCGCAAAGTGGCGTATGTGGGAACGTTGTGTAGCTCCAGGCGTTTGTTCAATGCTGGGCTCTTGTATAGCATAAGCAACAAAGCCTTCGACAGTTTGAACTAGGGGCTGTGACGAAAGATCTCGGAGCGAGGGTTCTCTCGGAAACCCGAAGGTTCTGGTGGAGCGACGAATTCGGCGCCTGCGGTTGCTCACTTTTGTGATTGGCTCTGATCTTGCTCCCATTCTCTTGTTCACGGATTTGCTTGTGAGCTATAAAGACACTTGGTCAGCCTAGGTTGTTCACGACATCGGATCGGTGCGTGGTCGTACACAGCGTCCCATCATCGGTATGGACGGGGCTCGAAAAACTCTGCGGCATCGGAATGTCACCAAGCTGCGCGGCCTTGCTCAATTACCCAACCCTGCTTCTTGTTGTGCCAGTGTCGGCGCTCCGCAGTTCATGTGCACTGACGGTGGCGAAGTTGTCACAAATGCTAAGGCTTTGAGCGTGCATCGGACAAAAAAACAGATTTTGCGCAGGCTGTGGCTGTTAATGGAGTGTGCCAGTGCTGCATGAATTACTACCATGCTAGACCTAGCCAGGAGGTACGCTCGCATCCTGCCTGCAGCCTCTAATGCGTGAGCTGGTCGAACGCCTTCTAGTGGCTGAAAGGTCGTGGGCGGCGGAGTTGGCCGGTCAATGGCTCTACGCTGAATTCACCAAATAGTGATTTGTGCGCGTCATCGAACCAGGTCTGAAAGGTGCCCAGC